TGTAAAATAGTTACACAAAACACTTTTTTTTCTGATGCCCTCTAACATTGGAAACACACTTTTAACGCTCTTCCAATATTTTGCTGTTCTGTTACAATTATCATGATTACGATTTTTGGTGCTGTGAAATCAGCACCAAATGAATGTATTTTCTCTTCAACTAGGACTGCATGCATTTTGCTGTATTGTATTATGAACGTAATAAAATAGGCTATATAGGTGCACAAAAAAAAAGGATTGTGTGTGACCAATCTGAATCACTAAAGCAATTTTTACAACTTAATGTTACTCATTTTCCGACTTCACTCTCATAACATTAGATTATTCTCAGTCTTAGATTATTTTTTATGCAATTTTATTAATACAAAGAGAGGACCTATTTGGCATGCCAAACACAATGACTATAGAGCTGGCGATCTTCACAGGGGGGACTATTTCTATGGGAGGGCCCTACTGTGCCTAGTCGGGCCAAATGGTGGATGTTTTGCACGTGAATACAGGTTCCCTCCAGGTTCCCGCTGCCTGGCGCTTTTGGCCAATGACATTAGGACAGACAAGAAACGTAGCCAGAGAGAGTGCGTTACTCTCAGCCTGCGCCTCGACCGTCTTTCTGTACGAGAGATTTATTTGCTGCAGCCAGCTGCCGAATTGCATTTTGCGACCAGCGCTACTATAAAGAAAATGGATGAAACGGTTAAGGACAACACGGAGGAGTGTGTAAGCGGTATCAGTGATGAAAAGGACGAGGCTATTGGTTTGGAGGAATCGTCGGACGAGAGTGCAGCTTCCAGCGTGGACTCCACAGAAGAGATCATTCGTTTGGAGCTAAATAATGTCTTGAGGGCATTTAACTGTTTAATGGTCGCCATACAAGTTTAAATTATTCTAGATATGCATATGCGTTTATTAAAATTAAATGTATTCGTTTTAAAGCAATTTTATGTTGCATCTTGCATTGCTTTATTAATAATCCCTCATAAAATTTCTGCATTTTTTTCTATTCCATACTCAAGCAATGTTAAGAATTAACTAACGATTACTTTACAAGTAGTAATCGAAGCAACATTTATTGACTTTATTGAATAATAATAGTAATGCCTTCTGTAGAGCTGCTTTATAATTGAAATAAATTTGTTTCATAATTGGTAAACATTCTAACATTGATACTAATTATTGCGTTTAGTTACTGAACTAAACTGAGGTCAACTTTAATAATTGTTAGATGTTTTAACACTATTTCCTGTTTATTCTGTGAAGCTACATTCTATTTTTGAGTGTAACACATCTGTGCCTGTATATTTACATCACTAATGCAGTTTTCTTTGCTTGCTTAATGCAACAGGTTTTCAGAAGTCTCAGATGATGATGATGACTGGTATCCTGAGGTCACTCCACGAAAAAATAAGAGATCTGGTCTGTCTTCTGTATCACCATCTCCAGCAAAGTCTTGCAGGTCTGGATCACCTGCCTCTGTGCGAAGTGGCGAAGGGAAAGCTAAGAAAAGCAGCACGAGACGATCCCTACCTTTCTCCAAAAGCATCTCAGAAGAGAAGTGGAGAAGTGCAGATGAGCCTGATATTGAGCCGGCACATCCAATATTCAGACCTAAAAACACACCCGGCCCACAGTTAATCTCCGGTGCATCATGCAGTCCTTTGCAGTATTTTGAGTTGTTCTTTTCAAAATCAGTGCTAAAGACAGTTTTAGAACATACAAATGTGTATGGAGCCATGCGTCAAGAAGGAAAGAAGCAGCCATGGGAGAATATTACAATAAAAGATCTAAAGTCATTCATAGCACTGGTGATTTATATGGGCGTGCTGAAATGCTTCTCGCTGACAGACTACTGGAAAAAATCGGACTTATACCGTCTGCCGTATCCTGTACGAATCATGACTGGGAAGAAATTTCTTAGAATCTCTCGGGCTCTCCATATTAGTGATTCCAAAGTGGATGCAGAGAATGACAAGAAGAGGGGAACACCTGAATACGACCGCCTGTGTAAGATCAAACCACTGTACCAGGACATTAGGGATGCCTGCAGAGCCTCTTTCCATCCCTTTCAGAACATCCCCATTGATGAACGAATGGTGGCATCAAAGGCTAGAAACGGACTCAAACAATACATGAAAAACAAACCTACAAGATGGGGGTACAAACTCTTTGTACTGGCGGATTCCCTCTGTGGCTACACATGGGACTTCTTCATTTATGAAGGAAAGGCAAAATCAGAGGAGAGCAAAGGTATTAGCTATGACTCTGTCATGATTCTGGCAAATGAAAGGTTGTTGGGAAGCGGCTACAAACTGTTTGTTGACAACTTTTACACCAGTCCCAAACTCTTCAGAGACCTGCTCCGTAAAAAGATCTGGGCTTGTGGCACCGTTCGCGCAAACCGCATTGGCCACTCAAAGATGCAGGCTCCTCGCGGCAATATTAGCTGGTTTAGGGAAGACAATCTGCTGTGTGTTGAGTGGAAGGACAAGAGGGATGTGCTGATGTGCTCCACCTTTCATAAAGCCTTTAATGGGGACTCCATAAAGAGGAATGTGAAAGGAGCCGATGGAGTTTGGGCCGTTCAGGATTTCCCCGTTCCAGCCGCAGTGCTGGACTACAACAAGTTAGTAGATTTATTCAGTGGTGTGAAGTTTGTTCTTGTACCTTTTAAATTACGCATCTTATAATGAATTTTCCATTCATTCCAGGCACATGGGAGGAGTGGATCTGTCTGACGCACTTATAGGATATTACACAGTTCTGCATAAAACAAAAAGGTGGTATCGGTCCTTCTTTTACCACTTTGTGGACATCGCTGTAGTCAATGCCTTCATTCTGCACCAGCAGACGGCCAAGATGAAGAACCAGAAGCCTCTGACCCAGAAGGCCTTCCGGGAGGCGCTTGTAACTGAGCTTGCATCTGCCCCTGCACAAGTACACGCAACTCTTACCCCTTACTCCCATTTGCCCAAGTACATCAATGGGGACAGCACTTTTGGAAGACGGAAATGCAAAATGTGCCACAACAAAACTCCAGTCATGTGCGTGACTTGTGATGTGGCATTGTGCTTCGTTCCTAAGCGCGACTGTTTCACTAGCTGGCATTACCCAGATAGCAGTAGCGAGAATGAGACAGATTAATGGCCTAAGTACTGGGATTTTGAGTCTAGTGTGCACCTCGTAGATGAGTGCAACATCAAACACAAGAAAGACAATACTCAGAATTGGAGCATGACATTTGCATAGTAGTGTGAATCGAATACGATGAGAGAGGAAAATGAGAGTGGAATAACATCTGCAACATCAAACATACAGTACAGCGCAACCAATGAATTGGGATCTGTTACTGTTTTTTTATGCGTACTTAACACTTGTGAGACTTAAATTAGTGTAGTTACTAAAAATGTGCACATTTAATAAAATGCACAAAACATATACTATACTGCATTTGTGAGTAGTTATAGAATCGATCTAATCAAATAAAGAATCAGTAACCAATTCCGTTAAATTAAATCGGACGTAAAAAAAGAAATTGTTGAATTCTTTGATTCTGATCGCTACTTTTTCTTGTATATGTACTTGATTTTCGAAACGTTTTGATTAATCATGCCGCTTCTCGTAATAGTGTATTTCATGCAAAATATTCTTGCTTTATTCACGTTAACATTATGTCTTTAATCTCCTAATTGCACAACTTAAAGGGATAGTTCACACAAAAATTAAAATTCAGAAAAATAAAAATGAAAAATAATGACTTTATTCCACATTTTCGTCTCTACTGTGACAGTATAATGACGCAAGCGTGTGGCGGCGCTGACCCCACACGCTCGCGGCATTATAGTGAACTAACCCTTTAATTTGTGCAACATTAATCTTAGATTATTCTCAGTCTTATATTAATCTTACATTAATGTAACAGCTGTTGTAAATAGAGCGCACTCCTGCTTAAATTTCTCCATCGCTGTTTATTCTTTGATAAAAGAAGGAAGGTTAGGAAAGTTAGTGACTTTTAGAGGAGTTTGTAAACAGTATTGATGAAGATGAGAAGATTCCAGACTCCAAATCACAAGAGATGTTTATCGATGGACTTGATCCATCGATAAACCTCCTTAATCAGTGAGTTTCTACACATTTTTAATTAAGCTTTATTAACACAAAGAGAGGCACAAGTTAATGTTCGTTTACTCTTTTGTGTTTCACCTTTCCTTGGATCTTCATGATTCAGTTGACGCAGCTGATCTTCAGACATGTCCAAACACCTGGCTCGCAGTTTTTTGAATGGCTCTTTTTTAAAATCAGTCCCGTGAACAATTATACAGTATGTGTCCAAATGTCAGGAAGGAAAGAAGCAGCAGTGCCATTTTTACCTCTCCTGTCACTGATGATCTACATGGATCTGCTGAGATGGACTATTGGAGGATGTCATACATCTACAGACTACTTTTTGACCACTTGTAAAACAGTCAACAAAATGGTGGTACCAACATTCATTGTTACCTAATTGTTCTAGTTCATCTTTAAGACTTCTTGCATATTTAATCTAATTTTGTGAATGTTTTCTTGCTTACAAAGGTTGCTTGATTCCTTGAAGGTAAATGGATTGCTGTAATTGATCTGTTTGGTAACGCAGAAGCTGATGTTAACGGACTTGACATGCTTGTTGCCACAAGCTAAATTCGAGTTTGCTAGAGGCGTTCGAGGCATGATTGTTACGCAATAGCAGTGGTTTGTCATTTATCGCTTGTTTGCCTGCCAATTCATTGTTTGTGATGTACAGTAGTTCCTTTGTTAAAATAGTATTTTTGAAATTCATTTTCTACCATAACAGTTGTATCCAGCTGTGCAAACTACCACATTTATTAACACTTTAGGAATGAAATAATAAGCTTGTTGGGAAAATGGCATTAAATACTTAAAAAAATTAAAAGTTTATTTTGAGATTTTAGTCATTTCAAACGTTTATAAGCTTGTGAACTTTATTGAAATAATAATTTCATTAAATTAGCATGAAAGGATAACTGCTTTTGAATTATTTTAAGGCCTGAATTTCCTTATGAAGAGGTAGCATCTCTCCTTCAGTAGAGTGAAGTTAAGATCCCATACACTCTGCATTGGTATCCCATCATGCTTTGCGTTTCTGTGCTTTGGTTTTGGCTTTGCCGCTGGTCTTTGCCGCAGATGACTTCTTCAGACTCACCTCCACTGGGTAATGATCACTGATGCCCAGGGCCTGCCGTAGATCAATCATATCAATATATTATTTACTTTATATCTATGCAAACCTCAAATTTACATATACAAATTGACATATGTACTGTAATTAATATACTCACCATTTCCTCTGAAAGTTTGTAGGCTTGCTGAAAGTTAAAAGGTTTTGCAGATCTTGGCACAACAGCTTTAAACATGTCGTCTTTATACACCACAATCCTAGGAAAGAAATACTTGCCATCAACATTTTCCTGAACTTGGCTGGCAGATTGAACTGTCCTTTAAGGGTACGTTTACACAACAACAGTGTACTAAAATCGGAAGAGTTATTCTTTCGCATTTTTTAAATGTTTTGCATATAGATGACAACTTTGTCAAAGCAATCCCCCTTTACATGGATCCACGAAAGTGACTAAATCTTTGCATTATGCCATTATCAGGCCAGTAGTTGGCAATGTTATTTTGTAAAGAAACACTACGCATCTGCGCACATACTCATTCCTATAGACTGAACGCGTAATATGCATGTACATGACATCACCGTTTTCACAAATTAATTTCTGTAGTTTACACCGAGATGATGCACTTTGAATCCCATTTCCATAAGTTTGCTTTTTCAGGTTGTGTAAATAGATGGCCAATAGAGCTTTAGTCAGGGTCCACAACATGTTTAATTTTTGACAAACATCTTTCCAAATTAAGAAATGTTCAGTAGACAAAAACTCCAAAAAACAGATTTTAAAGTTGGGAAAATTACATGATCTAGAACCTTTATACAGTGCGTGCCACTGTAGAGACTGTGGGCCAGATTTACTAAACAGGGCAAATTAGCGTGTGAGATTATAACCAAAGCAATCTACCAAAAGCAGCACAAATTAGCGTAGAGTTGCAAACAAGTCGATGATAATCATGTGTGTCTAATCTACTAACTGAAGGAGTGGATTCATCACGGCCTTCATAAAATATATATATTAAGTTTATCTTTTTGCATGATTATTGATCAAGTTATTAATCAGTATTTCATTTCATATATTATTAGTGATTGAATACAATTATTTACCATATACTAGTAATAGTCACTAAGATGAACTGGATGTTACTGGAATGTGCTTTTCTCTTGTTCGTGAGAAGCTTCTTCCTTTGCTAATTCCCTTTTACTCCTCTTAGGTTAAAGGTCTCATATATATATATATATATCATAGAAGGCAGCAGGGCCTCTCGTCTACCTGATAAACGTGTTCTCAGAAAATTTAGGTTGTTTTCTTTTTCTATGTCTGTATATTACAGAATGAAGATGAATATTGTCCAAGTTTCTCATCTTTCTCCCTCTGAGAAGCTGCACTCATTGTCTGTGTTTTGGGAACAGTACCTGATAAGAGTAAGAGCCTAGCTACTTGACCTCGATAAGGGTTTCTTTATGTTTGTGTGTTGGTATCAGTCTGTTGCAGGAGCAGTCTCCAGGAAGATTCAGGATGACAACCAGGAGAGAGAATATATGAAGATCTTGATGCAAGGATGGAGACATACGCCTGGGACACATTAATCGCTCGTCACCGAAATAACCTTCGAAGATATGCTTTTAACTTTATGTACATCTGTTAAGATTTTACTTGTTTTTCTGCTATTTGAGCCAATCAGAATTCTCTTTATAAGTAATTATGTAGTTAGCGACCTTCTGTTAAGAGTATAATTGCTGCTGTACTGAGAATGTACGCAGAGAGCGGCCTACGAACTCCTTGAGAGTATTGAAGTCGACTTCTGCTGATGAAACTGCAAACTATTTTCTTCAGTTCATTTTTCTTCAATTGACTTCATCTCTGACTCCTGGTCTTCATTCATCATACCTGGTCCTTGGGTTTATCTGTAAATTCCCCTACATAACACAGGCGCAAAATGGGGCGTTAAATAATGGCGCAAATACCAGTAAACAAACTACCGCAAAACTTAGTAAATAAACTTGCATGATTTATTTAAATACTCTCCGCCCATACATTTTGCGCCTGAAGGGGAAACTCTTACAAATGCGTATGCAACAAGTCAGACACAAAAATAGCCTTTTCATTGCTAATGTTTCACTGCATGTCTTTAGTAAATCATGACAGTATTTTTCAAAGCCAAAAGAGGGTTTGTGCTGGCGCAAGCTGTTTGTACATCTCTATCCGTCACAGCCTCGCATTTTCTACACTGGGTGCAACTTTTCTTGCGTTGTACCGTGCCGTAGCAGTTTGAGGCTGTCTACACTAAACTCATCAAAGTGATAGTTCTGAATACATTTGTAGTGTTGTCATAAGTAGTGCATGTTAGAAATAAAACTGGGGCTCTATTTGCTGTTGTCGGATTGGATCAAGGCAGCAGATGAAGGGTGAGTAAATTATTACTTATATTTCTTCCGCCTCACCTGTCGTAGGTGTGGTCATTGGACTCAATGACTGTGGTGTCCACATCGTCTCCAATCAGCCAGTGGAAATCGGGGTCGCTGCGGATCCTGATGGCCTTCATCTTCTTCTTGGAGACGTAAGCGCCGTCCGCGTTGAAGTCACCAAGGATCATGACATTCTGTAAGACAGTGTGTGAGCTTCCTCTCAAACTCTAATAAATGTTTGGCCAAACTAGAGCTCACTTGTGAATTTTAGTTGGACAAGAATTTCTTTATCTCCACATTAGATAAACTACGGTCAATCCACCCACATCTTTGAAATGTGTACATTCTTGTATTTGGCAGACGCTTTAACCAAAACAACTTCCCACTGGAATGTGTTGCATAGGCCTAAACTCACATCCGTCTTCCATTTATCTTTGACATGCAGAAAGACGTCGTATAGTTCATCCAGTTCTTTCTGTGAGTCTTTAGGCTTTGTGTGAACAGGTATCAGCACCAAATCTTTCAGCACTGAAAGAGACGGACAAAAATGACTAGCAATGATTGAGCACATGTGATCAACCTCCTGAAATATTTACGGTTGTGTAGGAGCATGGAGTTGCAATGAACGGGTGAATAAGGCCTTCAGTTTTGGTCAGTTTCTCAAATGAGTTATATGGACCACTTTTTATGGTGGTTCTACATCTGTTGATGAAGTTGAAAGCTCCAAATCCCATTTATTCCCAATGCACCGAAGAAATTCGCACAGGATGACATGTGGGTGAGTAAATGATCCCAGACTTTTCATTTTGGGGCGAAGTATAAATCATGCTGTCACTGAAGACTTTTAAAGTGAAAGTGAAGTGACATGTGGCCAAGTATGGTGACCCATACTAGGAATTAGTGCTCTGCATTTATCCCATCCAAAGTGCACACACACAGCAGTGAACACACACACGGAGCAGTGGGCAGCCATTTTTTGCTGCGGCGCCCGGGGAGCTGTTGGGAGTTCGGTGCCTTTTTCAAGGGCACCTCAGTCGTGGTATTGAAGGTGGGAGAGAGCACTGTACATTCACTCCCCCCACCTACAATCCCTGCCGGTACGAGACTCGAACCCGCAACCTTTGGGTTGAAGCAGAAATTGAAGTGTTACCTGTGTGTTTACAGCGGAAACGCAGGATGAAAGGCTCTCGAGAGAAAGCGTCCTCGTCACCCACTTGATTGTCTTCGTATTGGTACGTGTCAACCAGTTTAGCCTCATCTTCTCTGTAAGAAATTAGCAAAAAGTTTTTTCAGTGCAATACGAATGACTATTCATTCAGAATTAAATATCCAAGTTCATTAAAGGGTTAGTTCACCCAAAAATAAAAATTAGCCCATGAATTACTCACCCTCAAGTCATCCTAGGTGTATATGACTTTCTTCTTTCAGACGAATCCAGTCGGAGTTATAT